TTGGTGTTGTCAGCACCACGCTCAGCCAGTGAGCAAACCGGCCATCCCTATATAGGATCCGAACCCGCAGCCTTGGTGTTATCAGCACCGCACTCTACCGAGTGAGCCATGGGCCGGCCCTTAAAATTTATTTTTAATTGACACATAATAATTGTGTATATTTATGGGGTACAAAGTGATGTTTTGATCAATGTATACACTGTGGAAGGATTCAGTCAATCTAATTAACATATCCATCACCCCACCAACATCATTTCTTTGTGGTAAGGAGGTTAAAAATCTATTCTTTGAGCAATTTTGAAAAATACAATGCATTATTAACTGTGGCCACCATGCGGTGCAACAGATCACTGACACTTATTCCTCCAGTCTGACTGAAGTTCTGTATCCTTTGATCAACACCTGCCCGTTCTTCCTCCCACCCCCAGTCGCTGGTAACCACTTTCTACTCTGTTTCTATGAGATCAACGTTTTTAGATTCCAGGTATAAGTGAGATCATGTGGTATTTGTTTTTCTGTCTGGATTATTTCACTTAACATAATGTCCTCCAGGTTTATACATATTGTTGCAAATAAGAGAATTTCTTTCTTTTTTTTTTAAGACTGTACAGCATTCCATTGTATTTTCTTTAACTGTTCAGCCATAAGTGGACACGTGCTTTTCTATTGTAGTACTCAGAGGTTTTTTTTTTTTTTTTGAATCTTGATCTCCTTTCCGATCCCACACTCTCTATCACAGATTCAAAACCCACCCATGATCTGACAGCTTCTCAGCATCTCCTTTGCTCCGCCATCCATAGTCTGTAACTGGATTATTCCAGCAGCCTCCAAACGGGTCTTCTTGCCGCCACTTTTACCTCCTTTAGACTATTCTCAAATCGACAGCAAGAAGAATGCTTTTAATCTAATTTAATCAGCACACTTTATATTAAAAAAACCATAACACCACTCTGTACTCCATAAATATATACAACTATAATTGGTTGAGATATAATTTAAAAAATAGATAAATAAAAAAGTTTTTAAATTAGGTGATTTTGTGGTTTGGCTCAAAGTCAGGCAGCAGCTCTCATCTAACTCCTCTCCAAAGCCCCCAAGTTTCTGATGGCTCATGTCACCTCACTCCGCCTTGTTTGCCCTGCCCGAGATGCACTGGGCATCTTGCTCTGCACGGCCACACAGGCTCACTGCTTCCTCGGGGACTTGGCACTTGCTGGGATGCTTCCCTCCAGGTCCTCATTGTTCATTCAATTACCTCCTTCAGATCTTGGATTGAAAGTCACCTTCCAACCACTGTCATGCACTCTAGCCACCTTCTTTACTAATTTTTCTGCACAGCATCTCCACCGTCTATTATGCATGCCTTGTACTGATTTATGATGTTTGTCATCTGTCTTCTTCCGCTCCCTCTAGAATGTAAACAGCAGAAAGACAGACATTTTGGTCTGACTTCTTTTTTGCTGTATGCCCAGCACCAATAACAGTTCCTGGCATATAGTAGGTGCTTAACAAATACTTGATAAATGTATGAATTATTCTTTTTTTTTCCTTTTTGTCTTTTTTTACTGACTGGTAACGGGATCGCAAACCTCGGTGTCACGCCCGTACTGGGGACCGGCAATGGGATCGCAACCCTTGGTGTTGCGCCCGCAGCGCGCTCAGCCAGTGAGCGGGAACCGGTCTCCACATGGGATCCGAACCCTCGGCGGGAGTGCCACCACGCTCCCAAGCGGCGCACTCTCCAGTGCGCCACCAGGCCGGCCCTAAATGTATGAATTATTCTACTCAGGCACCCTTATTTTTTTTTTAACAGCTTTATAGAGGTATAACTTACATACCATAAAATTCACCCAATGACTTTTCATAAATGCACAGAGTTGTGCAACCATCATCACGATTCAGTTTTAGAACATTTCCATCACCCTGGAAAGATCCCTCATTCTCATTTGCAGTTACTCCCCATCCCCACTTCTAACTCCAGGCAACCACTAATCTTTCTTCTGTCTCTATAGATTTGCCTTTTTTTTGGTTCCTATTCATTTATTGATTGAACATATTTAAAGAGTGCCTTTGCTGTGGCTGGTGCTGTTGAAGGCTGATTGAAACTTCCTCTTAATATATGATATCTTTTTCCTTACACACACACATCTCTGTGTGTGCACACACACAGACCCACACTTATTAGTAAAGCAAACAGTATTTAGCCAAAGTTGCATCCAACATCTGTATAACTGTTCCTGTGATAAACACTATGGATTGCAAGTACACAGTGCTGTTAGAACCTAGAAGGAGAGGCAGTCCAGGAAGGCTTTTCCGAGGAAGCAATGTTTGATCTAGATCTTAGGGCAGAGTAAGAGTTAATTAGATAGGTGGAGTAGGTGGGATAGGCTGCAGGTGGATGGAATCGTATGAGAAAATGCCCTGTGGTAGGATGGAGATAGGCAGATTGGTGTAGTGTGGCTGGAGGGTCAGGAAATGGAAATGGACCGTGCTTTGTTTCTTAGATACCCTCTCTCCTCCCACATTGTGATGACTGCCCTTTCCCCAAACTGTCTCGTGGTTCCTGCCTCTACATTTACTTCCCTGGAGACAAGAGACAGTTTTGCTCTCAGGGACAAAGTGAGGGTGTTGGTCAGAGTGAAAGAGTCCGGGTAAGGGTCACTGATTCTGAAGGGCTTGTATCCTCCTCCCA